GTACTGGACTTGACAATAGGAAGAATCAGAATAAAACGTAAGAGCCACGGCAGCACGCTGGAGGAGAATCCTGATAGTATTTGTGGCAACTCGAGTACTATGTTTGGTAAATACCTTTGAGGAAGAGGATGTACCTGAAGAATGGATTCTTCTTCATGTTGTTCAAGGCCAGATTGGAGTAGGAAACTGCAGCTACTTGAGACTAAATCATGAGGGAAAGATAGTACTTCAGATGCAGAGTTGAGAAGGTGATGCGGATTTATGTATCCGATATGACTCTTCACCCCAGCTTTGACGAGTACGAGTTACAGTCTGTTACTTGTGGCCAAGACATTGTCCACGTAGCAGCACACTTCTGCCGACCAGTGGGAATAGGGATTTATGGGCATCCCTCCCACCAGGAGAGTGAGTTTGAAATGAAAGTCTACTATGATCGAACAGTCGTACAGCATCCATTTGGCGAGGCTTCCTACAATCCAGAGGAGATGGAGGCAAGCCAGAAATACTCACACTCTACAGAAGATGAATCTCAGGATGAAGAGTCTGTTTTCTGGACTATACTTATTGGAATCTTGAAGGTAATACTTGAAATTCTTTTTTAAATTGATACATGATGGACTAAATCACATTTCAGTTTGTGAAATTGAACATGAATAACTTTCTATAATATTTAATACTCTTTATTGTTTCCTGAAGAAGTATTCAGTTTACTTTTCGTAAATCAGAAGGAAAGTGGTGGGGAGAAAAAAAGCCATATTTAATTTTATATTGTAAGTTTTTTTTCCCCTAAAAGTAAAATGAGCAGCAACTGTGCTATTTGCAGTATTCTTCAGAGATCAGGGCTTAAAACTGAATGTAGAGCTGGGGATCCCTAAACAGGTGCTTAGGAGAAATTAACTCTTAATGATTTTCTGTCATTAGTTCCTTGATAAAGAGTGGAATACAAACTGCTGCTCTGTAGTGCCCCCTCAATTTGGAGCATATTTAAAAATGAATCCTGCTCTTCTGACAGGTTACCTTCAGTATAACTAACAAGCAATGGCTTTGAAGCGTACTGAAGTTGAGGGATGTAGGGTGAAGGAAGAAAAAAAACAGCCGAATAAGGGGATGGAGGGGCTATAATTTGACTGCTTGTGCTGTACATCAGTCATCTGTAAGCAGAGGCCTGTCCAGTCACTCACCACCTCTGCAAATCCATGACCTGAATCCAGTGCATGTTACTTCAGTATTACAGTAGGGAGGGAAAGCCTTCAGCTGTTGTTACTTGTCAGTAGAACATTCTCATTCCTCATTAAAAGCAATGCAGTATATAGTACCTTAAGCCTGAGAGGTATTTTCTTACATCTCCCTTTTATAGCTTTTTGAGATTGATTTTTTTTTTTTTAATGTTTACAGTCCCTTTTTTTTTCCCTGTAAATTTATATCAATAATTCATTAGTTTGCAAAGAAAATTTTTGCTGAAAGGAATTTTCAGAATATCGTAAGAAAGTCAGATTGTGTTCACCTTTTCCCTCAAAGTTAGTCTTTTCCAGGAGTACTTTTTGCCTTGTTTGAGTCTTTCAAATTAATTGCTATGCAAATAGTATGTATTTAAATTGCTCTGTAATTTTCTTTTCACAGAGCTTACAGATGAGTACACTGAAATAAATAAGTGTGGTACTTAATTTTATACAAATGGTGCATGTACCATTTAAATTTCATTATATGAAGCTTTTTCTTTTCGAACAGGAATTTGACTTTTTTGTCTAGATAGCTGACAGGACGTGATGAGAGACTTGTCTCACAAGAATGGTTATATAGCCAAAATTAAAAGTTTATTGGATAAAAAGAAAAACGCAGTGGTATTGTTCCTCCTAAAAGTGGTTGGTTAAATAGCACCAAAGTATCACTTCAATTTGTGCAGTTACATTTTGAAACAGCAAGGTTTTTTAGGAGAGTTTAGCCTTCCTTGCTGTTTTTGCCCTTTCTTCCTCCTCTTCTGGGGCTGGGAGGGTCTGACAACAATCACAAATCCAGCGACCTACAAAAAGAAAGTTATCAATTCATGGGAAACTACCTTTTTTGTATTCACTCATCTAGTTATGCACCTTTCACCATTTCAACAGGTTCTCAGCAATTTGTAGCACTTTGTTTAATGCATAAAACCAGCTCTTCTTTAAAATGTGAAGTATCTTTTCTAAGAGGTACAGAAAGCAGCATGTACAGTTCACCATCCCTTGCCGACTCACTGCATGTAACAGTTGGTTTCTTCAACACTTGCGGATCTCAAGAAGGGCCAGCACTGCTAAGGCAGTGGTTCTTAGAAAAGAAATGACAAACTACAAGGTTGCAAGTTGGGTTTTCATAGGAATAAGCGCAGTTCAAGGTTATGGGTGGTTACAGCAGAAGAGGATAGCAGTTAAGAATGTTGCTATTGTGCCACAGGCTAGGAGGGCTTGTTTCCCAAACCAATGTGAGTTATTTCAGTGCAGTTGGGCAGCACAGATTAAAGTGCTGGCAGGGGCTCAACACCAGACCTTGTACTAAAACCTGTTAATGGAGGGAACAGTAACGGCTTGAGCAAAGAGCAGGAGTATTAACTATTTATATTACAACAGCTGGAATCTCAAAAGCTGCTTTGCTCATTTTAAAGTTTTGTAGCAATATTATCTATTTTGCTCAGATTCTCTCCTTAAGTCAGAATGAAAGCTGAATCAGGCACAGAACCCGGACTGACATGAGAGCAAGCTCTAGTGCTTTCCCAAATGGGAATATATATAATATATGGGAATATATATATAGTAGTAGTTACAGGGAATGCTGTCGCTGAATATGTCATCACAGACATAGCATGGATTTAGTATCATGTGAAAAGCAGTGCTGCTACCAGTTACACCTCTGAAGTTTTCTTTACAGGGCCTTGAGTTGGCCAGGAGATACCAATGAGCAGGTGATTCAAAGGTACAAGCTGCCTGAAATGTAGGTGCCTCACTTCCAGATATGGCATCTAAGAATAAAAAGGGCAAGGAAAGGTGTTTAAAAAGTTGCTTACAAATACTATATTAAGCATACTTTTTAATTTAGAAATTAAAATAATAGCATACTTTCTTAATGTGAAAGCTGTATTCCAGCAATATGCAGCAATACAGGTGTCTTTACAGGTTTCTTTTAAGAAAAGAGATCATTATTCTCAGTATTCTGTGGAAATGTATATTTAAAACAAAATAGCTCCAAGTGGGTCTGGATTTTGTTGTAAAAGGCAATTACATTTCCTATTCAGGAATTGCCAGGTTAAACTGTGCACAACTAAATATACAGAAATAAAGCTTATGAAAAAATGGGACCCTACCGCATGCTTTCCAACGCTGTTGTTCATTCTGACCCTTCACACTGCTTTTAAACTTCTTTCAAAAGCAACACATCTATTCTGACAGAATCCCCAGGACTCAGAGGAGGTGGGAAGAGAACAATTAAATCTTTATTACCTGAGGGAAAAGCGTCAAGCCCCACACAGAAAGTGTGATAACCACGGTCGCATACATCACAGAGCATCATTTCTTCTTCACGATGAAGCTGCCCACACGTAATGCATGTTTTACACTGCATACATTGCCAAGGGTAAGTCTTAATCCTAGCAACAAGCTCCGGGGTCATATCAAGGCAAGAAGGGTGGCTTAGATTAAAACCAATATTATTACTGTGTCTGAAATGAAATGTAAATTATTTATTTTACAGAAGCTGAAGCCGAGCTCACCTCCTGGTGAGATCTGATAGCGCACTGAACGTGTCAGTACACGTAACATTAAATAGGAAGCTTCAATGGAGGAGAGAACGGGCAACAGAACTGTCGTACACAAGTACAGAGACTTCCACCAAAAATCTGTCAGAGATTCTCTCTTACGAATCCAGTTAGTGCATGCAGATACTTACCACTGTTGTCACACTGGGAGCAATGTATAAGAGCTTCAGCTTTTCCTTTCTTGGACTCCTTACTCTTCAGACAAATTCCACACATAGCATTTGGAATGACCTTTGGCTGGAAGGGTAGAAGAGGACTATAAATTCATTCCAGAAGAATTCACAGATTTAGCAGGAAACGTGTCTCCTTAACTCTTAAAATTAATGATTTATCTGCTGTGTGAACCTTAGTACATAGCACAATAACTGACAATGAGTGCTGTTTCAATCTTTGATTAACTATGTGCAGTTTTGCATTTGGCACGCCTGTAGTGAGCATGGTGTAAGTTCAGCTGGAGTAGAGCACGTAGCAGTGTCTTCCCCTGAATTCATCAGCTAACAATCCTCTACATGTAAATTACATGATGTAACATTAAAAATTTCAGGGATTTTGGACTTTTTTTTCCACCAAAATAGAATACTTCTTTATGAATGGCCATGCAGATTTTCCATGTGGAATGCATTAAATACAATTTCCCCTTTGCATTGACTCTCTAAGTATAGAAATTTAGTTACAAAAGCAATAAACTAGATTTTTGTATTGTTAGTTTTAAAGTATCTGGTTAACAGTATTATATAGTGCTACCAGTCATAACCACAGTAAGAAATACCCACCATTGTACCTAATTATAGTTTCATAATATTTCTAAGAGATCATCTGGAGCCTATTTGAGTGCATGAGATGCATTTAGAAGGTAAGAGAGAAATAGGAGCCTGTTAAATTGAGCAACGTTTGTGGATTAATTTTGTGTCCAAAACGAAAAGACAAACCCACAGAGCTGTAACTCAGTGATGATCAAAAAAGATACGAGGCATTACATTTTTCAGAACATCTGCACGAGGACCAAGGAACAACCCAAGCATTGTGAACTTCAAACACATTTCAGTACCTTGTTGAGTTTTGACCACTGCTTAATAATTTCAAACCCAATTTCTCACTAATTTCAATATAGTCCTCACTGATTTTAATGACTATTGCCAGAGTTTTGAAAAGAAATGCTGCTGCAAAGGCACAGCAGCTAGAGGGAATCCAAGGCATATTCTATTTTCTGTGGAACCAAATGGCTCGTCAGTAAGAAGAACAGTCCCAGTCCAGTACCAACCATTTGTGGGGAGAAGAATGAAGTTTAATTAAAAAAAAAAAAGAAAAAAGAATATATTTAAAAACAACAAACAAAAAACAGATCTTTTGTAATGCAATTTATAGTTAAGTGCGTCTATTGCCATGCCAGTTTTTATGCTAGTGCCTATATCTAGTTAAAAAAATAAGAATAATCTGAACTCATATGTAAGCAGTCAGGACACATTGCTTGAGGATTCATGAAGTGTTCCATCTGTTTAAGTAAAAACACAGTTACTGTCTCTGATGCTGACTGGTCTAAACAGTTTTATTTAAAAAGAACAAAAAACACCATTCCAGCTCTTCACTGGTAACTTCCCACAAAAGCTGACAGAGGCATTCATACAGACTTTTTTTGCTTATTTATTTTAAAAAAGCATAGTCAACCTGTTTTATACATAAATATAATGAAACAATAAAAGAAGTCTAACATTCACAGAAGTCTCTACAAAGTAATAAATATAAGCAAAAACACACAAAGTCTCTTGCTGTTAACTAATCTATGTGTCCTACATGTATACGTTTATACCCTGCTCCTCTCAGCAAAAGTGGCACACGCTTAAACTCTGTCAGTGTTGCAGCATCTGCCCTTCTGTTGTTGGCCTACATTCTAATATATATTGTGGTTGTGGTTTTATCTATTTTCTAAGTAAATCAAGCCTTTCTAGAATAGCAAGTGCACTTCTCTAATCAGACTTCCAGTTTGTTACAAATTTGTATCTCACTGCCTTCAATATTCAGCAGCATACTCCCTTGTACTCCATCAAAACTAAAGTGAGCTACTTTCTGGTCACTGTACTTGCATCAGGGTACGTGCATTAACACTGCTCTACATATTTCTAAAGTCAGACACTGATACAGGTGCGTTAATTAAAACTGCTTCCATCTACACTTCACTAAATTGTGTTTATTAGAAATCGTGCATTTAGGGGGTGGGTAGGATGGGAATCACAGCCTATTAACAATACAGTTCCAAAGTATGGAAGTAATTTTTTTCTTTTTTTTTTTTTTTTTAATAAAAAAGGAAAAAAAAAAAATCAAAAGATCCGTGAGCACTCCAGATGAGATGTCCCAGCACTGTGGCCCATTCTGCAGACTGAAAGCAGTATCGCACTCTCGTATCTTCTTGCTTCTCCTTTCTTGCCAGAGAGAGGTGCTGAGCCCGGTGCCAAGATCTACATGAAAGCGGTGCAGGACGTCCTTTCTGAGAGAGCTCGTCTCCAGGCTGGAGGGCTTCCCACAGCAGCAGGTCCCAGCTCAGGGAGAAGACCTTCCCCTGCCGTGTGCCCCCGCTCTGTCTCCAAGTCCCTGGCTGGAGGCGAACCCAAGGGCTTGGAAGCAGAGCAGCAAACAACAGCACAGCTGCCTGCTAAACAAAAGAGCGAGGGCTCAGAGCGGAGGCAGCGTGCCGGCTCCAGCAGCACAGCCTGGGCCTGCTGCAGCACGGAGCTCCAAGCTGAGAGGTAAGGAGGTGCTGTGGTACCACCCTGCAGGGCAGTGCTGCCCTTATCAAACACTGAAGTTGCAGAGGGTTTGCTTTGCTTTTTCCTTCTCTGCAGAGGGGAAAAGAGTTGAAGCCTACGAAGGCCCAAGGCATTGAGGTGCCATGTAACCCCGTCTCTTTCCGTTCCCTCCATGGTGGCCTTCTGCACCTTTCCACTGGAAATGTCATTCACTGAGAGGCTTCCAATTTCCTTTGTCTTTTTCCTGACATCTGTTTTTATGGTACCCATGTTTCTGCAGTTTTGCTGCAGACAAAATGAATTCAGTTTTATTCTTGCTTTACAGCAAGAAGACAATGAAAAGCAAGAAGAGTGGAACTGAAGAAGGCTGCTCTGAGAGCTGCTGCTGCACGAGCAGAGGTGAGTCCTTGGTGAGCGCAGACACGGCTCTTGCTGTGCTCAGCGCCTCCGTCTGTCAGACATGACAGATATTGCAGAATCCCAGGGCAAGCAGTGTAATAGAAAAACACCCAGCTGTGTGTTTGAGGAAATCAGCCATCAGTGAGAGCTGCCCAGGGGAGCTTGGATGCCTTCCTCCGGCTTGAGAAGGGCATGTTGGTAACGGCCGGAGGGTTTTGCTGCCATAAAGAGCCTTGCCATGTCAGGCACTGCGACCTTGGAAACCTCGTTCCCCCAGCAGAGCATGAATCTTAGCATAGGCAGCTGCTGTGGGAAGTAACGCCAGTGACTGAATGGCAGGAACGTGCTGTGCTGCATGGGGCCGTTCTGGAAGTGCCCTGATCAGACTTGCTTAAGGAGATCTCCCCAGATTGTTCCTGTCCTATCTCAACTTGCCTTTCTTTCCAGTGCTCCTCAATGAACAGCCTTGTGGAGATGATGCAGAAGCTGCAGCTGAAGGACTGAGAGGATGAGCATCAGCAGGCAGCGCTGCAGTGCGGCGTTACAGGGCAGCGTTCCGAGTGCCGCCAACTCGGCACCACAAGTTTGGTTGTAGTCAATAAAAAACAGCCACAATTAGAGATCGACAAAGAGCGCATGGCCTGATTTGTCCCATGGCATTCCATGAGCTGCTGTACTCCTACTGGTCCAGAGTAGAACCTATGCAGCTTCGGAGCACCAAGCCGCCATCCTGGCACAGTTTTTGGAGGCAGTGCTCCAAGCTTTGGGCTGTAATACCCCTGACAATGAAAACGCAACTTGCATTTTAACGCAACACTGCTGTGCTCTGTACCAAATCAGTGCTCCTTGGGTCTCTGAGGTAGGACAGGGTGAAGGGGAGCGGCGTAAAGCTGTGTGCAGGAAATCTGAGGGTGGGAGGGCACTGCCAAACCCAGCTGGAGCATCTCTGTGCAGTTTTGCCTTCCTGGGAGGAACCCAGAGCTTCCCAGTAGTTTTCTGCTCCTGTACTGCAGTGTGAGCATAAGGTTCTGCTGCCTCCTTCTTCTGGAAGATCCTCTGCTGCCATGGACATCTGACACAGGCACCTGTCCTTTTCTGTTTGTCTTTTAATCAGGGCACATTATGCCTGTTGTGTTTGCTGCACGTTACTTACCAAAGTCACCACAAAAGGGTTTTGATTTTCCTGCAGTCAGATTTGCTCTCATGTAACAAGCTTCTATAGCAAAGTCCATCTGACTTTTGAAATTATTTTGTTGAGGTTCAAGACATTCTATTCTTTATAGTCTTTATAGCACCACCCTTCCCTCCCGCTTATAAGTTCCCATTTAATTACTGGAAGGCCACATCAGGTTTCCCCAGAGCATTCTCTTCTCCAGACTGAACAAGCCCAGCTCTCACTGCTGGCTGTGGTGAAGTTTTTCATCCACCAGAACGCCGAAGTCCTTCTCAGCAGGGCCGCCCTCCATGAGTTCTTCTCCCAGCCTGCACAGATATCTGGGGTTGCCCTGACCCAGGTGCAACACCCTACACTTGACCTTGCTGAATCTCATTAGGTTCACGTGCTCCCTCCCAGATGAAGATTTTGAAACAGCTTTGTGAAGAAATGAAAGAACCTTGAGAACAACAAGAGTTCTTTCAGGCTGGACGTTAGGAAAAACTCCTCCATAAGAGTGGTTGGGCCCTGGACAGACTGCCCAGGGAGGGACTGCAGTCAGATTCCCTGGAGGCATTCAGGAAATGTTTAGGTGTGCGTATGGGAACTGCTAAGTGAGAGCCTGAACCTCTGATTGATCACCTGAGGCGAGCCATGAATCAGCCAGAGGAGCACAGTGAAGGCCATTCAGCTGTGTTGCCCTCCTGGACGTATTTAAGAGCTGGCTGCCAGTGGGGAAGGAGCTTTTCTGGAGATTGGCCCTGCTGGAGTTTTGTGAGTGAGCCCTGGGTAGGGGTAAGCCTTCTATTTGTTCTCTTTTTGTTGTCATACTCTGCTTTGTCAAACTCTCTTGTTTATTTCATAATTATAACATCTTACTAGTCATTGATTATACAGTGTGGTACTGAGGAAGATGAATGATGTGGAGCGCGTTTCTTTAGAGTCGTTTCAGAACGGCATTTCACTTAATTGTGAACCAGGCGAGGGGGTGCAGAATGAACAGAGGCAAAACAGAGTGCAGGGAGGGATGTGGAGGGGGGGAGCTGAGGAATGCAGCCTTGTCTCTCTCCTGCACCAGGCACTTGTGCTCACGTATTGGTTCAGACTGTGACTTGAAAAGTCCACTACAAGTCACAGTAATGAGCAATGGGGATGGGCAATGTGATAATAGCTTCTTGGAAACAGTTGTGATATTCCCTCCTATTCTAATTGTAATATCAGGATAATCTCCGCCTGACCTGGTACAAGACCTTTCTTGCATTTTCTTCTATCTCTTTCCCTGTGGTCCAACAGCCAATGATTTTCTGTACAAGAGAAACTACTCAAAAAACAGGACAGTTCTTCTCCCGGATGCATACCCTGGGGAGGATTTCAGGTCAGAACGCTGAGGGCAAGCAGCCATTTCTCTGCTTCTCTTTATCCCTTCCCTATGAGTACCCCAGCTGCAGTGTCCTGCTCCCAGAGCCTCCCAAAACCCCCTTCTATTCCCACCAGGGATCTAAAGGAGAGCGAGTTGGAAGGAAAAAGTCTCCTCTCAGGCCTCCCACTTAGCTACACCTTTCACATGCAGCAAAATCGTGGGCTTTGCTCTGCTCTGTGTGTCACTGGAAGAAAGCACTGCATTGGAAAATGAGGATCTCGGGGTCCCAGGGCTCTGAGGACTGTGGCCACCACATCTGTCAGAGTCAGGGGGTCTTGGGAGAGTCCCCATCGTCCCTCTTCAAGGGGATGGCACCGAGTCGCTCCTATTATGAGAGCGAGAGGAGGTTCTAGTCTATGTTCACGTCTTTATCCTCAAGAGAATAACTTTTAAAAGTCAGATGGCCTCTGCTATAGAAGCAGATGTCAAATGTGGCTTTTCTCCATGGAAAACTGATGCCTGGCAACTTGGAGACTAACGTATATGTGTGTAGAGATGTTTTTTTCCCTTTTAATTTTAATAGTAAACTGAGTCTATACTTTTAATTCATGATGAAATGCTAAAAATGTGTACTCTTGTTTTCTGCCAGTGCTTGGCTGACGGAGTTTTTGGCCGTTCTGTGGCATGGAATGCAACCAGCATGGAAGCATCGTTTGTCGCTGTGGATTCTGAGTAAGATTACTCACCCTCTGCTCATGATGGGTAAGAGTTCAGATGTCCAGTGAGAATGCTTGAGCTCTGCTTCTCCAACATGTGTTTTTGTGTAAGTAAAATTGAACCAGTGACTCATTTCTAGCAGTGGTGACCAGCTCAGATGTGTTGGATGGTATCGTGGACGTTGAGGAGCTGCTCACCTGGATCAGCAGTGAGTTTGAGGACGCAGAGCTGGTGGGTGGGTGTCTGCACAGAGTGGATGTAGCAAGGCAGCTGTTGCCATTTGGGGGATGCTCTGGCTGTTTCAGACGATCCCCGGGAGAACCAAGATGGTTCCAAAGTCAGAGAGAAATACCAGAAGGGTGACCTGCTTCAGGACGAGCTGCTGGGGGAAGTAGACAGCCAGGAAAGAGAGCAACTCATTGCATGGATCAGTGCCACGGAGCCACAAAGCCCTGATGTCTCCAGCAGCCCTGCCCCTCCTTGCTTCATCGCCCAGCTCCTCGACTTCCCACAGTACAGCAGGAGGTCAGCGAGGAAGCACAGGCTGCTGCCTGGACCCCCCCGACCCACTATGGGGGCTGCTGCCATCCCTCGGGCAGCTCTCCAAGCTGCAGGGCCGGCCTTTGCTGCTGCCTGCTGTGGCACCACCAGAACTACCACTGCCGACCCCTCTGGCTGCTCATGTGCCTCCTTCGCTCCACCCTGCACAGCGCGTGGATGTGGTGGATTTCACAGTTGCTTGTTTTTTAAAGCAATCTCTTATGGGGAACCATACAGAAAAACTCAGGTTTGTTTGAGCCCCTATAATTTCCACGATAGCTCGTTCTGGTGTCCAGAAGTTTGTACTACTTCCCAAACATTGGCTGGGGATGTCAGGGACAAAATGGAGGTCAGCACTGGGGACGTGCTGAGGACATCCTGGGGTTTGGGGGAGGAGGTGGCGGAGGTGGCCAGTGAAAACGGAGAGTTTTGTTTTACAAAGATGGTTTTGTTTAATAAAAATGTTATCACCTGATGAAGTTCTGGCTCAGTGTCAGTTTCTCCTCAATGTGTCAGCAGGATCCTCATGCATCCCCTCCCGTGTCCCCTGCTCATGTCTGTCCCCCTGTTCGTCTCTGTGTCCCTAAGTATCACCTCCTCGTGTGTCCCTTCCACGCCCCCCCTCTATGTCACTTCCGCTGTGTGCTTTCTATGTTGCTTCCAGTGGCCACGTGATGGTTTCTGGTATCCCCAAAGCCACCTCAAGCACACCAAGGCGTCCCGGTGTCCCCATGGCAGAGCTACTGGCATCCTCGTTGTTGGTTCCGGGATGCTCAGAGCCACCATGACCCCACGAAGGGATTCTGGGCTCCCCGTGGGGGTCCTGGTATCTCCAAGCCCATTGTGACCATGTACCCGTCACCTCCTGCGCGCATCACCACGGGTCCCCTTGATGCCACCATGTCCCCTTCTGAAATGGCAGGAGATTGGAGACCCCCAGACCCGGCAGGGAGGTGACAGGGTTC